ACTCTTCATTCTGGTCTTGTGAATGTCTATGGGGGTAGGGGAGAATGGGAAGTAGGATGAGCAGTTAGGAGGCTATTGTAATAATAATCCAGGCAAGAGACAATGGTGTCCTGGATGGCGACTGGGGTGATACCAATGGAGTGATAAAAAAGTAGTCAGATTTTGAATATATTTTGAACATGGAGCAAACAGGATTTCTTGACTGATTGGAGGTGGGGGTATGACCAAAAGAAAGCAGTCAAGGGTGACTCCAAGGTTTTTGGTCTGAGCAGTGGGAAGAATGGAATTGCCATTAACTGAAATGGAGAAGGCTAGCAGTGGAGTGGTAATGGGTGGGAACAAGTTCAATGTGAACATGTTGTCTTTCAGTTGGAAATTTTTGAACACACACACAGGTAGAGGATAGTTCAGTGTACTCCATCACTACTTGAGCAGCTACCATATCTATTCTTTTGTTACTCAGGTGTTTGTTTGTTTTTGAGGCAGGGTCTTGCTCTGTCACCCAGGCTGGAGAGAAGTGGCTTGATCATGGCTCACTGTAGCCTCGACCTCTCAGGTTCAAGGAATCCTCCTACCTCAGCCTCCCAAGTAGCTGGGACTACAGGCGGGCAGATCACCTGAGACCAGGAGTTTGAGACCAGCCTGGCCAACATGGCAAAACTCCATCTCTACCAGAAATACAAAAATTAGCCGGGCATGGTGGTGCACGCTTGTAATCCCAGCTACTCGGGAGGCTGAGACATGAGAATCGCTTGAACATGGGAGGCAGAGGTTGCAGTGAGCCCAGATCGTGCCACTGCACTCCGGCCTGGATGACAGAGCGAGACTATCTCAAAATAAATAAATAAATAAATAAAGACTGGGCATGGTGGCTCATGCCTGTAATTCCAGCACTTTGGGAGGCTGAGGCAGGTGGATCACCTGAGGTCAAGAGTTGGAGACCAGCCTGGCCAACATGGTGAAACTACTAAAAATACAAAAATGAGCCAGGCATGGTGATGCATGCCCATAATCCCAGGTACTTAGGAGGCTGAGACAGGAGAATCACTTGAACTCGAGAGGCGGAGGCTGCAGTGAGCCGAGATCATGCCACTGCACTCCAGCCTGGGCAACAGAATGAGATCCTGTCACCAAAAAAAAAAAAAAAAAAAAAAAAGAGTTTAACAGGAGAAAAACCACATTTATTGTTGTACATACATGTAAGTGTCCTATAAAATATGAGACTCAAAGAAGGGTCAGATGTTCGAGGCTTATATAGCATCCTGAGCTACAGGAAGGAATAGGAGCTTGGGACTTCTGGGAGGTGGTGGAGACACAAGTTTTGGGATGGTGAGGGGAGGAATTCTATGGTAAATGAAAGGGGTCTTGTTCTGTAGATAAAAGTCTCTCAGGAAATAAAGTTATCTCACAGCAGCCCTCAGGAGAATAGGTGATTGTCTGGGCACAGTGTGAACCTCCAGTTTCCTCTGCTGTGATCTCAGTTCATTTTTCCCAGTTGATAATATTCTCAGGGAAAGGATTCATACCAGTTGAGTTCCTTTTGGAGGAACTCAGACAACCCCCTGACTGCATCTGCTATTACCTTGTGCCCTTTGTCCAACGTAATCAACATACCAAAGTGTCATATTTTGGGGTGGCATTTCCTAAACGCCATCAACCATATAAGGTAATATTTACAAGTTCCTGGAATTAGGTACAGATCCATCTTCTCTATGGGGGCCCACCGTTCAGCTCCCTACAATAAGAGAATAAATAGTAGTTTCTTAACGTTGTCTATGCTCTATTTTTCTTTTTTTTTTTTTAAGAGAGGGGATCACCAGGGTGGAGCACAGTGGTGCAGTGTTAGCTCACTGTAGCCTTAAACTCCTGGACTCAAGCAGTCCTCTGACCTCAGCCTCTCAAATACTGGGAGTACAGACTTGAGCCATTGGGCCTACCACATCAGCTATGTTCTTAATGTTCCCAATCCTTATTCAGATTTTCCCATAGTCTTGACAACGAAGAATCTTGGGGTTCATAAATTTGAAAAGGAGAGCTTTATTTCTTATAAAGGGTTGCAGCCTGCAAGGTGGCCATTCTGACAGGCTAGGAAGTATAGTTTCTGGCAGAAGCTGATAGCAGGTACTTTAAGGGAGGGGTAAAGGGAACAGAAATTTACACAGAGTGGGCTGGCTAAATATACATATTTAATAAGCTATAGGAGGAGTCATGATTATGACAGAGACAAGTACATGCACAATTGAGCTTCATGCCTCTTCATGGGTTGCATATTCAAAAAATGGCTGCATTCACGTGATCCTAGGGAGCAGTTTTCAGCCCTCTGATGTCAAAAGGTATAGCACACGAAATGAAAACCCTCACTGTGCACCCTCCTCCAAAACCCATCTGGAGATGGTCAGTTTTAGGAAGGGATGTATTGTGAAACTGATGAGCTTTCACTTTGAAACTGCAAAGACAGTCTGGGCAACATAAAGACCTTGTCTCTACAAAAAATTTTAAAATTGGCCAGGCGTGGTGGTTTGTGTCTGTGGTCTTAGCTGCTTGGGAGGCTCAGGTGGAGGACTGCTTCAGCCCAGGAGTTTGAGGCTTCAGTGAGCTGTGTTCATGCCACTGCACTCCAGCCTAGGTGACATAGTGAGATCCCTTCTCAAAAAAAAGAAAAAAGAAAAAAAAAAAAGGAAGAAAAGTGCAAAGAGTAGGGAGTCTGGTTCTGGCCTCTAAAACCAATGAATCATCCCTTCCTTGATTTCTAGAGCTGGTTTCTGCTTACTCCTTAGGAAAGAATTCTGCTTAAAGGTTAATAAGGAAGGGGCATATTGAGGCATGTTGGACCTCCCATCTCATCATAGCCACGAACTCAGTTTTTAAGGTTGCTCTAGCGTCCCCTTAGCCAAGGCGGGGTCCATTCAGTTGGTTGGGGCGGGACTTAGAATTTTTGTTTCTCAGTCTCAAAAGTGTCATTTTACAGTTTGTTTGAATCAGGATCCAAACAAGCTGCACTCATTGCATTGGAATATATTTCTTTTTTTTATTTCTATTTTTTTCAAGATGGAGTCTTGCTCTGTTGCCCAGGGTGGAATGCAGTGGCACAATCTCGGCTCACTGCAACTTCTGCCTCCTGAGTTCAAGCTATTCTCCTGCCTCAGCTTCCTGAGTAGCTGGGGACTACAGGTGTGCACCACCATGCCTGGCTAATTTTTGTATTTTTTGTTGGAGATGGGGTTTCACCATGTTGCCCAGGCTGATCTTGAACTCCTGACCTCAAGTGATCCTCAGAGTGTTGGGATTACAAGTGTGAGACACTGCACCTGGCCAACATTTGAATATATTCTTAAATCTCTTATAATCTAAAACATCTCCCCCCATTTTTATACCCTGAAATTGTTGAAGGAAGAAGAGGTCATTTGTTCTGTACATTGGCCCACATTCTGGATTTGTCTGATTGCTTTTTTGTAGTGTTATTCAGTTGGAGTCACTCAACTTTTTTTTTTTTTTACAAAAATACACTATACTTCATAAATATTTCTGTGCAATTGCATCACATCAAGAAACACAATGCACAGCTGTTCCATGTTTCGTTATCTAAGATTGATTAGTACATATAGGTGATCTTCAGTGTACATCCTTCAGTGTAAAATTCTCCCGTAGATTATCTAATACTTTTAGCATCCATCAACGACTGTTGACTAAATAAGTTATTTATTGAGATCCTTCCTCTGGTCCAGATTGTTTTCATCAGATTAGTTTTATCTTTGTCCCCTTTATTTCTGTAGCCAATTGCCTAGGAAAGATCCTTTCATCTTCCAGCTTTCTTAGATCTCCAAATCTCTCAGGTCTACGGACATCTGAGATAGGAGCACGATCTATCTTGCCTGGGGAGCTAACGAGATAAGGAATTGAGTCAGTATTTCCTAACATTCACACTTGAAGCCCATAAAGCAGGCAGGTGGTTTTAATTTTGCCCCGCTGGATAGGTTGGGGTTAGGGAAGGGCGGGTTAGAGGGAGGCAGAGTGAATCGGGGGCAATCTCCCCTTTCCTGGGGTCAAACTCAAAGGCTTTTACTA